TTAACAGCAACCCAGTAAATCCTTTGGGGCCATTCTCCATCTCCAACTCCATAGCCCTGCCTCCTGAGCCCTGCCTGCGCTAAGGAAGAAGGCGGCTTTGGGGATTGCGGATCCCACAGGACAACCTGGCGGCCAGGGAGGCGGTAAGCTAAGCTCCGGTTTAGGGTTTAGTGGTTAGGGTCTAGGGTTTACTGTTTAGGGTTCAAGGTTTAGGGTTTAGGGTTAGCATAGAACATGATGAGGGATTCATGTAGCGATGTAATTACAAGGAATGGAGAAGAACATGGAAACTGCGATATTATTGGGGGTTGTATAGGAACTGCTTCAGGGATCCCTTCAGAGGCCAGCAATGGGAACGTAGGAGATTCAGTAATTTGCTGCTTGGGTTGTACGATGAGCGTAGGTATTTGAGGTTTGTTCTGGTATCAGTGTCAGCGTAACCCAACCTGACGCTATCATTGTTACTGTTGTGCCATTATAGTAGTTTCCATTTTTTCATTATCACTATATATCTCCAATATGCTGTATAGTACTTTCCATTTTCTTTTCCATTATCCCTATGTAACCCTAGGAACTGTTATCATGATTGCTGGTAGCGCTGGTCGGTATCTGCCGTATTACCAATGTGAGGTACAAGATGCATTAAGTCTGCGGGTTCCCTGTTCCTTGTTTTTTAGGCCTCTTGATCAAGGGGACCTGCTATAGAGAGGGTGAACCTTGTTTGGGCATTCGCCATTTTCACCGAGGCTAAGCCTTAAACCCAGAAAATCCTGAAATGTTGGATTGGGGAGGGTGGCTTGCAGTTTGGATTTAGCACTTCTTCAGGGATTGCAAGCTACCTGGTGCCCATTTGACCCCATCTGGAGGTCCCCTCCCAAGTTCGAGCGAGTCGGAGTTTTGATCAGGTGTTGAGGGTTCAGGGTTTCAAGTGTGATTAGGGTCTGTTCTCCGGAGGGTTGCCTCATTGTTTGCAGCTATATTCAGGAGTTCTGATACTGATCCATCGTGCAGCAACTTTGGGCTTTCCAAACATTTGGGGCACCGTTTTTTGGGAGGAAGTTCCATTCAGCAATGTACCCCTTGAGGTATATCCTGGGATTCGGGATACAATTTTCGCAAATTGTCCGTTGAGGTGGGGCTTTTACTTCGGAAACGCTTCTTGGGGTAAGCCCGTAGGGAAGGATGGTGAACTGCAGAGACCAGCATGACATAGAAGAAGACACTCAGCTTTCCGTTTTGCAGCGCTTACCGCAAAAGCGATATGCCCAGGTACACGCAATCAAAGTGCCCCCAGGTATCTGGAAACATGACTTGGAAAGTTGTCCTACCAGAAAAGCTTCAGAAAGCCACGCTCCTTCATGGAGAAACCCTCATTTAGGGTGTTGCCAGCGAAGCTCTCTACAATCTAAGCTCATTCCTAGAGGCGTGTTGCGAGCTTTTATCAAGGAAGCCTTCCTTGCAGGGGGCTTTACACACGAGGACCCGCACCCTGATAATGTTGAATTGTAAAAGGTGAGCCAAACTGGTATGTGCGTAAAGTGAGATGCTGAATTTGGACCTCAGCCATGCAGCCAGCACAACAGGTTGCTGATCCAAGAATAACCACCCCCGACAGCCTAATGAAGAAAGTTCCCGGTTAAAAGATGGTGACTTAAATAGTGGTACTCTGCTATCAGGGGGCATGCATTATGACGGGGCTGGGTGGGGGGGTATTCTTAGGAGGAGCGGGTTACAAGTTACAAGTCATGGCTTTCTCGTAGACTTTGCTTTCTAAGCGCCAACCCTGCAGGCAGCAGCACTACCAGTACTCAGGGTGACTCGAACTCCGACTCGAACGCTACCGCAACGAGCACAACGAGCAATGATGAAAGTGGCCAGATCTCCAGCACCGCAGGGCAGCTGGGGCTGCATTTTGCTTCCAAAATCCAAACGGCACATAGTGCCATATGCCATTCTGAATTTCGTAAACTTGCAACCCAGTACTGACAATACAGAATGAGCCCTGCACAGCCCCGGGGCTTCAGTCTTGGAAGCTTGAGGCACCAGATGGATTCCAACAGTGTCCAGCATTGCACAGCATCGAACTTGCGGTCCTCTTATACCGGCCTTTGAAATGGGTAGGTGCCGTGCTGTACCATGTCTTGTTCTTGTCTGGGGTTTCTGAATGACCCTGGGGTCCAAACAGCCCAACGTTGGAATATTTACAGGCCTTTTGGCCCAATGTAGGTGTCCTTTGTATACTTGGATCCATGCCGTTCTGGATGATGCTACAGCACCGAGGATCAATCTCGCTATGTCGAGTCGGGTATTGAACCTCGTGGTGGCCGGCCTTCATTTTCATAGGTATATATATTTATACATACACATATATACATACATGTGTATATATATATATGTATACACATACTTCTAACCCCTATATAGCCCCTGTATAACGTCTAAATTAATAATTCCCTGTAATCCCTGTGGCTCTATGTATGCAAAGGGCGTTCAAGCACGTTTCCGTAAACCACACGCGGTACTTTCGTGAGCATTGTGGGCACCTGTTTCAGGGAAGCTCTGCGTTTTGGATAAACTTTTCCAGGAGAATGAGCCATAATGGGCCTTGCAGAATGAAGGATTTAGGGTTTAGGGGGAAGGGCAAGGACGCCCAAGTTCGGGAAAGGAGGTTTCCTGCGGATGATGCTTGTTCAGCAGCTGGTGGCTCAAGAACCTTTGAATTTGCAGAACCCTATGATATAGTAGTTTCCATTTCATTTTCCATTATCCCAATACATAACCCTAATATTATACCCCTCTGGACCCTAAACCCTACACCCCCTCAACGACTCGGCAATCCAAACTCTCAATTCGGCCGCGCTGCAGGTGGCTCTGCTACTTGCCCTGTCGCCTATGATGTGCTAAGCAAAGGAGACTTTCGGCGTTGCCTCCTTTTCAGCTAGTATCAGCATACTGCAAGAACTTGAACCTGGCGCCCCACGCCAGCGGACCTTTCTGAATGCAGAGGTGATCTTGGCATCCAGTTGGGGAAGTTCTGAAGAAGTTCTCTGGTTCAGTAGTGAGGGTTGCACTTCACAGGGCTTACCAAGTATTGCCAGGGATTATTCGGATATCTAAGGCTAACTTTATCAGGGGCTCCATTGTCAGTAACGACTCCGCCAGTAACCATTCAAGGAGCAGACGAAGCTGCAGCTCTGGTCAATGTAGGGTTTTCCTGTGGAAAATGAAATGGAAACTACTATAGTGTATTGGGGTTATATTGGGATAATGGAAAATGAAAATGGAGAATGGACAATAAAATGGAAACTACTATAGCATATTTGTCTCCACTGTGGGGGGCTCAGACCCTTCGCCAGAGAGGTTGCAGAAAGGCTCAAGTTCATTGCCACTTCGTGGCTCCAGCCGATTCTTTCCCCATCTCGCGACCTGGAGATGTAGCGCCAAAGAGTCTTGTTACTATTATTAATGGAAAATCAAATGGAAACTGCTATAGTCTATTGGAGTTTTATTGGGATAATGGAAAATGAAATGGAAGCTAGTATAGCATATTCGGGCTATGTATTTTTCTGGGATTACTAGAGAGTAGGGTAGCCGCTGCAAAGCGCAGCCGCATAATGAGCATCTGTGAGAAAGGATGCCACTTAGCTTGCACTTCTGCTTCTTCTGCCCACGACAATCTCTTCATATGCCCCACATATCTCAGTGATCCCGCATTCCGGGGGAAAGTTTAGTGGGAAGCCTGCATGTTGGCCATCAATCCAAGACCCAGGCCATTCAGAAGACATTCTAGCCCTGTATTCATAGGTATGCAGAATGCGTAAGCTGCTCGACTGATAGCTTTCGAGTGCCGAACCCTAGGTCATGCAGACATGCTTGCTGCAGCATAACCTTTTCACTTGCAGCCTCTAAGATTTCAGCTCCAGTTGCGGATCCGGGGTGTTTGATGGAGCACTGCCATGCTTCATGAAGTTTAGAACACCACGCGTGCAGAGTGCGGAAGGACTTTGCCTGATATATCTTATGTGGCACAACACGCACGAGAACTCATGTCGAGGGCTTTGCCTTACCCATTGGGGTAATATTCGGGTTATGCTGGGGTTATATTGGGATAATGGAAAATACAATGGAAACTAGTATATTATATAGCGGTTATATTAGGGTTATATTGGGATAATGGAAAATAAAATGGAAA